AGCATTACATTTTATACCACATAATTAAATGAGTCTTTCTACATTTAAATATGTCTTTATTTTATTAAGGTTTTTAAACGAAATCAAGTTTACACATTCAGTACAAGCAACATATTTTTTAAACATAATATCATTTCTTTAATTTCAAAACATATTGCTGAAAATACGGATCTCAATGCCTCGGATAAAAATGTGACAGACTAACAGATGGAAAGAAAGTAGTGTGCACGTCGGCTTTATTTTATATTATGATAGTACATTAAAGCCGATCAGAGTTATACTACATATACAACTTAGTGAAATCATTTTTAAATTTGACAAATAATTTCATTTAATATGTGGTCGCCCAATGTGTAACCGATTCTCTACTGACAGAGGCGACGATCTACAGACTTCAATGAGAACACGAAATTTCACGTTCGACTTGTTTCTAACTGACCCTCGGCTATCCCGTGACTTCCCTATGGAACCTGGCCAGGTGTGTTTCAAAAGGCTGGAATATCTAGGTCAGGGAGAGACGCTCACACAAAACTGTAAGACACCAATCTTGGGAAGATTCCTCAGGTTTATAAGGTAATATTATAAAAAAAGGCTTTTTAAGGACTCTCTGAAAATTAAGAAATTCACATTCATTAAAAGAATATTTAATGTTGTTTAAGTATAACGAATTGTTAGTTTTAACATAAGTATCGGAAGAAATAATCACTCAATTTGCAAAAAAAGGAGAGACAACTCCAAAATTAAACAACTGCTGCCTTGTAGTTTGTTCTTGGTTGGACAAAGGCTATGGAAGCAAATCCAAAAAGAAAAGCAGGCTGAAATCGGAGTCAATGGCCTCAATGGCGCATAACCAGTTGACACGTAACGCTTAATTGTGTTGGAGGCGTGGTCGAGTCGGCAAAAAGCTCATGGTTGATAAATTCGAACAAAAGTCTCGAGTTCAAACCCACTGGCAGATAAATCTCGATCCCCTTCAACACTAATAATTAAGAACGAAGAAGAAGAAGAAGAAGCAAAAAAAATGAATTTTAAGTAATACACTTTTAAAATTTGTTTTTACTTCAAACGCTTTAGTTGAAACATTGTAATGACTTATTTAGATAATTAAATTATAAGGTTTACCATTTTGATATTAAAATCTATTTTTAAGACTTGCGACTAGCATCTTAAGTATACCTAATCAAATACACGATCACAACTCGAGAAAAATAGCCTAGAAACTATTACAATCACATCTTTGTATGTAATAGTAAATCAAAATGAGGTTATAACACATCATTATCAAATGGCGTGATTATATAAGACATTAGGGTTATAGATAACAAAGAGTTCAAATTAAAATACTACGAGAAATCGAAAATGAATGTGATGGTAAAACAAATACAGTGCACACCCAATACGGTTCTGACATTCACATGTACATACCTGTGTTTGTTCAAGATTGCAATATTTTTTTAACTAAAAACTTAATCAGGAAACATAAATACATGATGCAATAGAAAGAAGATAATCTTTCAAAATGTATAGATGAACTGGCAATAGCTGAGAGCTATTTAAAGATAACCTATGCGGTATAATAGAATGTAAGACGTATTTAAAAGATACTTTTTTATCACCTTATTGAATAGTTGTTTGTTAGGTTTGATATATTTATTTACAGATACACTTTCGACACTTTGAATGTTTGTGAGATAAAGGTCATGGCGAGCGCTGCAACCTACATGGAAAACAATTATTTGATAAAAGACAACTCTTTCCTTCAAGTGCCCCCAATCTTTGTAACTTACACCCCTAACCCCCTGACCTGCACCTCCCTGTGTGTACAACGTCGTGACAGCGATACGTGTACAGCTGTCAACTGGGTTAGGACCACGACAGAATGTCAGCTGTTAAAAGTCAACCCGCTAAATGTTGTGCCACTGTCTCCAAACTCCAATACTGTCTTTTATATAGAAGCCTAAAGAGAGGAAAACATTGCCTAAAAAGCCCACAGACCAAACTCTTTTGTCTGTTGCTTAGTTTACAGAAGAAATTACAAGATAATTTGCTTTTGTTATATAGTAACAGCTTGTTAATTTTACACACTCTAATGTAGGCCTTCGTGTTAACAGTAGTGTTAGAGCTTTTGTTTTAAACAAGTAAAAAAACAAATGTTTAAATTAAAAGACATCATACTTTTTATGACATCACTAAGTGGCTTGTACAAACACGACGTGCCATACATAATACCTGGTTCTTGCACAGTGGTATTCGATTACCATATGATGGGCGCGATTGTTTGAAAAGACGTATTGTGTCTCTGTTTAAACAATTCTCTTTCATTACTTTACTGCTTAGTCCGTATTTGAATCGTATGCATTTTTACTGTCGTTATTGATGTCGCTGTGATGTTGTCAACTACCAATAGCTTGTAAACTCTAGCAAAATAACCCTTGCTTTTTTTTTTTGTTACTGTTTTTTGTTGAGTGAAGTTCGTGCTTTTTATTACGTTTTTGAAACAATGAATTCTATATTCCTGTGAGTAATTACATGGAGGTGTGAATACCGACTATACACATGACTAGATAAAAGGTAATTTGACAGAAAACGACAAAGATATTTGATTACCAACGTCATAGAGCGAGATGTAGTCTATATGGAACATTAAGTATGGCTATTTTATTTTGTATATGTTATCAGTTATGTAGATGAATCACCTGTTTGAAGGCGATATGACAGGAAGGACAAATAAAAACTGTCTTGTGTTTGTCTTGCTTTTAAATATGTTTAGTAGTAACCATGGCCACTGCGTATTTTATTTAATGGTTTGCTTGACGGGAACCTGTACACTAAAGATGAAATAAACCGTGTTGGTGAGTTTGTAATTTATTTGTGGAAGACTAGCACATATTAAAAGAACGGTACTAGATCACCATAATACAAGCATTGTAATAATTCTTATACATAGTATTCACATAATTTAAAGAAATGTATTTTATTGATACTTGTTTATATATAATACGGACAGTAATTAAATCATTAGCATTAACACAATTTTATTTTCTACTCTATATATTTTATAAAAAAAAAACATTAATCAGCGCTTTCATTGCAAAACATCTTAAATAGTCACTTGGTGTAAATAAAACCTAGATCTAGAGACCTGGGACTTAGACAAAACAATATTGTTTTACGTACATAAACAATTTATTGTCCTACTTAGTTAAATCTTTTGTAAATGTCATCATGTACTATGCGCAAATTTATGAAATACACATTTAAATGGTTAAAAAATTACATTAAAACACGTCATAAAATTTAAATGTAAGCATTATTTTATAAAATTAAATATTATTTACTTACTATAATATACACACTTTTATTTTTAAATTTGATGATATAGAATGGCGACTATAATTAAATCGTTTGCAACAATACAAATAATTTTATTTTCAAAGAAATTAAAAATAAAGCTATCAGTTCCTTCATTGTGAAACCATCTTCGATAGTCACTTGGTGTAAATAAAAACCTAGAGATCTGGGCCTTAGAAGTGTATTGTAACAATAATGTTGTACTTACATAAAACACTACACTTTCAGTTATATAGTTAGATCTTTAGTAAATGTTATCATATAGGCTCAATGTACGAGTTTATGACATGCAAAATGAATTGGTAAAGTTAGCAGAAACAATTATTTTCGAGCTAAGATACTCGGGTAATTGTCAAGCTTGAGAATTTTGAATAAAATAGCTAAGCTAAGTAAGCTGTTTTTACGTAACCTTTTTTTTCCATATGATTGATTTCTTATTTCATTCGTCTTCCTCCTTACCCGAGAGAAAAATGTCTGAAAGAAACCCTACCAGTTACTGAACTGAAGCACACGTTTACTGTGGACATGACCTTTGACACCAAAATGCAACTAAGTGAGGAAAAAGGGAGACAAACAATAACATACTCAATATTAAAGCATGTATAGGTGACATCCCCTTGTTTCTCTACATAATTAGACACTTCCCACACATCTTTTCTTTTACATATATTTACAATGTCCACAGTCTTATCCTATTTCTGTACAAATTAATTGTGTTTCTAATTTGTTAAGTTAAATAAAAGACAATCAAAATAGACCAATCCTAATTTAAAATAACTGGTCGTATATCCATTCGCCTACTCGCTTGTAATATCCACTGACACAATTTAATCACTTTTGAAATAGTAAAACATCATATCATATATATCCTAGATAATAACTTACATAACTAGTCTATTTTATACACAGTCCACCACCCCGTTAGTCTTACCTGCAGACACATTTGTTTTAGTTTACTAAATTGCAAATATTAAATAACATAAAATTGCTGCGTGCAAATTAAGAGCATGCATGTGACATTAAATACCTTCAATAAAAAAAACATAAATTTAATAAAGAAGTACATATTTTTTACAAAGTACTAAACAGATAGAAAGTATCAAGATAATTACAATATATAATAATAATGATAATATAATATGGCTCCCTAGTAGAACCAAACCACCGGATAAATGCTCAATGGCAAATCAAAGCACAAAACCTGGGCTCTATATTGAGAAGATCCTGGTGACAACAGCATTACATTAAAACTTAGACAATCAAAATTGTAGAATGTAATACAAAACATTTAATAAACTATGTTTTCTATGCAAAGACTAAAAATGAGATAGTAAACCTTCACACTTGTGCTGTGATAAACATGTATCATGATAAACCTATTCCAACCTTCTCTAATAAAGTGTCAGAGCCAACTAACCTTCACTATCAATGTGTTCAATTATAAAACACGAGCCGGCCCGCGGCATAACATACGCCGCTATTTAGTTCTTTCTAATTTTCAATAATTCATAATTTGTGAATTCGACAGTACCAACGCTGACACTGAAAATATTTCTTTAAAACACTATAAGTAGCTCGTTAAGGACCATAAACCCCCCCCTTCCTTCCCTCCCCCCTCCCCCCCCCCTACGTTTAAAATCGTTGGCTCTGCTTGTAAACATTTAGTGTGAACACAGCTCACTAAAACCATGTAGGGGTGGGGAGGTAGGGAGAGCGTTTGCAGCTTGTTTTCTAACGGCTCGAAGAAGAGAATTATATATATAGATACCTAACCAGTTAATTTGTTGCTGTTTTTTTGTTTTGATGCGCTGTAGCAAAAAACTTGTCGAAAATGTCATAAACGTAAACATATCTTTTATTGTACTGGTCTTCTAAAACTAACCGAGTTATTTCAATAACGTGTTTTTTTTAATTATTATTCTATTGGATTATCTTTTTCTGATGAAGATTAGATCTTTTTAATTGATCTATTTCTACTAATTGATAGTTTTCAGCTGACTGATCTACTTTAAATACCGGATAGTTTTCAATCAACTGGACGTCTTCAACTATTGTTTCAAGTCACTGCCGTCTTTTAATTTTTTAAATAAATGATTCGTTTTAAATATTTCTTTTAACTATTTCAGATAGTTCAATGCCATCAATTTCTCCAAATAAGTGATCATTTTCAACTAACTGATCGTCTTTAGATAACTCAGATGGTTCAACTAAGTTAATTTCTTTAGCTGAATGATCAAGTTTAAATTTTTCATCAATCTCAGCTAACGTAGTTTTCACAATGAACGCATTGTTTTCGTGGTTTTCTGTTATAAATGGTTCATTATTCAGCAACCATTCAGCTGTTGGTCTAAGCTTAGATTCTCTTTGAAAAATCCTGTCTAAAAATGCCAGTAATAAACCAGAAGATGATTGAGGCAGTTGATATCTTGGTGGTGCACCAAACACGACCGTCTGTACGGGAATCTGGCATGTCAAAAGTGACGAGTTTGGTGGTTTTCCTGTCAACATCTCTACAACTGTACAGCCAACACTCCTGTGGACAAAACAAAATTACAGGTTATTTTAATGACTAGTAACTTTCAAAGGGCATAGAAATCTATTAAGGCGTTATAGGCATATATTAGATAAAGTAGTGGTTGTATATTGTATACCCTAATTGCGAATGTTTTTATAATTGTATATGTAAAAATAAAAAAAAATTCGACTAAAATCTACTTTGGCAATACGGTAGACTGAATTTTTGTGTGTATTAATGTTTTGAAAGTACAGTTCGTTTCACCATCTTTACGGTAAAATACCACATCAAGAACAAGTAATATGTGTCTAACTATCACGTCATTAGTTATTTTCAAAGGTTTTACTCAAAAATAAAAAGCTAGAATGGGCCTTTAGTTGCCTATTTCTATTAATTTTAACTAATAAACCCGTTTGCTGAGATCATTATAAGAATGTGTAGCCTCCATCGATTGATTGTGTGCATTGATCTGCTGAATGAGAGCATACTTGTAGAACTTGGTTGTGTGCTTTGTGTTATGGGATTAACAGTGCGTATAGTAGAGCGACGTATGTGCTAGAAATTGTATTAAATACCATGTTAATTAGTTTTAGTTTCTATTTATTTTCATTTATATTAGACATTGCGTTCCATTCTCTTTATCATTATCATTAAGAAAACTATATTTTGTATTCACATGTTTTATGAAATAGTATTGTCTTTTTAATGTCAGTCTTGAAATTCGCAAACAGGACAATACAAAAAACATATATTGCTAGACGGTACTTGAACAAACATCACTGTCAAGCAAAATATTTGTATAGTTTCCAGGTTGTAGTTTTTGTTAACCCCAATGGCATCACGGCCACCTATATGAACATATTCTGGGAACAAAATAGGTTTTGAATTTCTTGCATTGTACCGGCATGTACTCAAATCCTTATATATCACCAGATGCACATAATAATGTAAATAGTTATGATCAATTATTGATAATAACCATTTACATTTCTTGCATAATACAGAAATGTTTACCATATATCAGCTCTACTTGTGTAGTTTATTATCTTGCCGCCATCCGTGTAAATCACTTCTGGGGCCATATATCGAACTGTTCCTATCTCTGTTGCCACTCCATTGTCATCAATAATTTCAGAAATTCCAAAATCAGTTAACTTGATGTTCATGTCGTCTACCATTAAGATGTTGTTACCTGAGGTGTATATAACCTAATTAAAATTATTCTTAACGTTGCGCGTTATATGAATATATTTGTAATTATAATTATAATTAATTTATACTTAAAACTCGAGTGATTAGGCCATCTTATAAAATTGTATTGTAAACTCTATTAGTTCGATGTTAAATAACTTAATACCTGTGTTTTAACAATATCCATTTCATGTACATATGCAGTATATTATTTTGAGGCAAGTAATCGACACACTTCAAAATTTGAATCGTAAAATGCCGAGTCCACTGTTCATTTAAGTTCCAAGACTAAATCACTTATAGATTGTATTGTTGACCAAGGACATTGAAAATGTACAGCAAGTTTCAAATAAAAACGAATAGAATGGAGTTTACCTTTAATATCTCTGTGGAGAATGTAGTTTTTATGCAAGTAATCCACTCCCTCCAGAATTTGAACAGTAAAGTGCCGCGTCAATTCTTCGCTTAAATTTCCTCTTTTGGAAATATACGCTTCCAGAGTGCCCTTAAATATAGCATATTTACATTTTGAAAGCAAACATAGTTTTATAAGCAGTGCTTCACACTTTTAGAAACATATAATAACGTTGTTCCTTACGTTTTTCAAATATTCTAAGAATATAAAGAATGCATCCTTTGTTTTTTGAAAGCCGTGAAACTGAACAATTCTTTCGTGTTTTGCTTTTAATAAAAATTTTGTCTCCTTTATACATATTTCCTGGTAAAACAAATAATTTTAAAATATTGTTAATACAAAATAATAAAACACTTAGGATCTATATAGATTGTTTTAATATTTCATTATCATAACAGTTAAATAAATGTTATTTTAAAAAAACATTAGAGATTCTTTATTTTTAAATTTAAAATAAAATATCTACTTTTATATATAAATTGAAAGAGGTTTATGTTTTTAAAATGGATTTATTCATTGAATATCTGTATGGTAAAATTACCATTGCTACTGCTGTACTTGGTTCTATTTTCTTTGCAACAAACTTTTCTTCATCCGGGCTGTCCGTGTCAACTACCCTAAAGACTGTTCCAAAGGCACCCTTGCCTATCATTGTTGGTTTTATTTTGAAATGTTTCGGGAAGTCGTCAGAAAATATACTATCTATTTATGTATTAAAACAAATAGTGAGTTAAAATTTAATACACAACATGTGTCTTTTTTAGCAGTTCCTTCAATTCATAATCAAATGAAGTATTGTATGCAACCATACTATGTAATAAAAGTGCTTTAATAAGTATAATTTTGTTTATTTTAATAAATAAATAAAAAATTCTAGCCTGTTTTCGATGGCAAAATTCCCGTCACTCTTCCAGTTCTCCAAAATATTGAGTTTGCATTTTGCGAAAGGTCCTTATTTTCACTGCACATAAGCCTATTTAAAATGTCATTGAAAGTGTCGTCAGTAATAATTTTCTCACTCGCATCTTTATTTATACTCAAACATTTCAGCAACTCCGTTACTTGTTCTTGTTCTTCGGGGTCCTCGTGCGCCAGTATAGTTTTTAAACGTGGAATGATAGGAATAATCTGTTAGGAAAATCGATAGGTAGGATGTAAATAAAATATTTGAATTAATGTAGCAGGGCGTCTGTTTGAATAAAATGGCTTAGACTTCTGTTTGACAACTTGGAACACACTTAATACTATAGCATCGTCACAGTACTTTAAAATTTAAATAACATGTTCGTAAATAAAATATAGTATGTTAATCAAAAGCATATGTATGGATGTGATAATGGCAACGAGTCAGTGTAAGAGAAATGGTTAGGGTAATGATTTACGGCTAGAAAACAAAATTCGCGTTTTACGTTTACTGTATACACATTGTAGGCATTTTGTAGAATATCCGTTTTCTTATTTGCTCATGACAAATGATCTCAGGACAAATGATCTCAGACAAAATACCTCAGACAAAATATCTCACGGACAAATGATCTCAGGACAAATGATCTCAGGACAAATGATCTCAAGGACAAATGATCTCAAGGATAAAAGATACCAGGACAAAATATATCAGGACAAATGATATCATGGACAAATGATCTCAGACAAAATATATCAGACAAAATATCTCACAGCAAAATGTTGATAGTATGTACAATGATTTTAGTTCATTTGAACTTTTTTTTAAATTGACTGTCAATATGGTTTTGTTTACTTTCTTTACGCATCATAATTGTGAATAAAATTAATTTGTTAAACTTAACAAACCATCAAAAGATTTATTAAACTTAATCTTTGTAATGGCCTTTGATTTGAAAAAATAAAAATGAAAACAAACTTTCTCCTTTCGCCTGAAAGGTATGATAAATGATAATGTATAAAACAAAGTAACGGTAGCTATACAACAATAATGTTTAAAACATGCGAAATATCTTTCAAAAATGTTAATGGGTCTCTAGGTTCGTAACGTAAAATTATTGTTTTTATTGCATGATCAACACAAACATAACGTTTACGTTTCTTTGCTGACAGTACCTCGTTATGATCACACCTCTCCAATACTATGTCATCATGTATTGTGTGAACTCTTGCTCGACATGTTCTAACTCCGCGATGACCGCTGTTTGTCTTAAATAAGCATTAGTCACCTGATCACTAAGGTGTGACCGACGCATAACTATTGAATTTAGCTATTAGTTGTATTGTTCATGGAGGGCGGATGTCTTTCCCTTAAGGCATGTCTCTACCATCAAAGCGGGCTGCCACCTTGATACGAAGGTGTTTCTCGATTGTTATTTCATCCTCTTTGATCTAGTTTCGTCCACCTGAAATGGTTGGATTGTCTCATGTTTGGCAAGCCCGCCTACGCTGTCTATCGAACAATTTCTTTAATCTTCTATAGTAATAATCCTAATTTTAAAATGCAATATACAATTTTAAAAGTGCAATATGATAAATTTATACGGCAAACATTTCTTACAATTATCATATGGGCCTATAAACAATATCAAACATATTAAACAAAACCATACGACAGTTAATAAAAATTGTTCAGATCAACTAATGTCACCCAATAAACAATTAAAATTTAGGTGTGAGATATTGTGAGATATTTTGTCTGAGATATTTTGTCTGAGATCAATTGTCCGTGGTATCATTTGTCCTGATATATTTCGTCCTGGTATCTTTTGTCCATGAGATCATTTGTCCTTGAGATCATTTGTCCTGAGATCATTTGTCCTGAGATCATTTGTCCGTGAGATATTTTGTCTGAGATATTTTGTCTGAGATCATTTGTCCTGAGATCATTTGTCCTGTCACCTGGAACACACTTAATACTATAGCATCGTCACAGTACTTTAAAATTTAAATAACATGTTCGTAAATAAAATATAGTATGTTAATCAAAAGCATATGTATGGATATGATAATGGCAACGAGTCAGTGTAAGAGAAATGGTTAGGGTAATGATTTACGGCTAGAAAACAAAATTCGCGTTTTACGTTTACTGTATACACATTGTAGGCATTTTGTAGAATATCCGTTTTCTTATTTGCTCATCAAATTACCGTCAGACTATTGACAAGGTATTTATTCGTATGCTGTCATTGGGAGGAGGGTAAATTATGGTAGTCTCAATGTCGCAGGGCAATTATCTGGAAGGAAATTTAATTTTGGCTTGTGTATTTAATAGTAAATATATTATCCCGCCATCTGTCGTACGACTCTCTACTTGTGCACTCTCTCTTCTCCCAACTCAACGGTCAGCAGAAAGCAAGGGCTTGCTACAGTGACCTCTGACCCGGCTGCTAGACTGTCCAGTCCGGCTAAATTTATCGTGTGATCAAGCACTGAGTCTTACTCGCTTATTGGAAGGATCCTATACCGATTGATATAAAAGGACTGGTAACCGAATAATTCAGTATTTTAACCCTGACCACTGCCCCTTTTCAGCTGTTTTTGACATATTTTAAAAAACTAACGAGGTCATGAGGGCGGAGCCTGAGTTAAGCGACCTGCAAGGTAGAGTCGATGCAGTCCCGTCACTTTACCTTCTCTCTTCGTAGGTACACGTTTTTTATTTTGTGGTTAGGCACTTGCTAATATACAATTTATCTGGTGTTTAGGCACATGTTCATCACGGAGAATCTCGCTATTATTAGGCACCGTGTTCAGAGAAGTGTTGTGTGGCTTCATTTAAAGATACCAGCCTGGGGCTAGAACATACATAGGTCCGTGTGTGGAACAAGTTTGACCACGCCGCCCTTAGGACCTGTCGCCCATGTTATGCTAATCGGGAGTTTTGATTGGATCTATGTATGGGAATATGTTCATTAAAAAAATCACCAAAATCATGATAGTCCGTCATAATGGGTTCTTGCACTTTTGGGTACTTTGTACTCTTTTTATTAAAGAAAATAATAACTTTAATGAGAAAATTTTCTAAAAATATTTTTAAAAATAAAAATACGAATAGTTTAATATTCGTCATTATGTTGCTGTGATGACGCAAGGTAGATAGCAGAAGCAGGCTATACCAATGGGTCAGACTAGTCAGAGAAATAGAGACCAATAAAAATACGTGAACTGACCGGTCACGTGGTACGGTCAGCTGACCACTTAAGCGTGGGCTGCTGTACGGCCGGGAGTTGATAGGTAGATAGCGAGGAGAGAAGGTGTTAGGAAGCGGTCAGAGACGGTCGAGATATGTAGGACTAGGTAACAGTAATAATTAGTGAAGAGAACGGTTAGATAGGTAAATCTAGGGAAAGGCAGTCAGTAGTAGTAGTAGAGAGTATATAATATGCTAGTTAGTTAGGTAGAGCTTGATCTTATAAATTTATTAAAGAACTTTTGATTTTGAACCTGGAACTTGTATTATTGGGTTCATACGTTACGCCATCTTAAAAAATCCCCACCCTCACAACTGGTGGAGCGCGGGTCGAGTACGGGAAAGACAGTGTATCGGTTTGCTCATGACGGAGTACATCTGGTGTACAACTTTCTTTAACTCAACACAACAGCTGGTTTCTTCAACCGGAACGAGTTTGGATTAAAGACACAAGGGAACTGTCACCATGTTCACAAAGATAAGTACCTTCCTTCTTTATTTTAAACGTTTGGGTTTGGACTTGTGCTGGATATTTGGTACTAGCGGTTTTTCTGCCTCTTTCTTATCTGTTTCTTCAACCACACTACCCTTAAAAATGCCTCCATTGTACGAAGTGGTCCCTAAAACTGAGCCCAAGTCAGGCCTAAAAGAGTGAGGAAGAATTGATGACTCGTTGCTAGATATAAATGTTCAGAATACAGTCAAAGTGAAAAGCAATTCAAGAACTATTGAGGATCCAGATATTCTGGATGAAGTGATTATTAGGCTTGGACAATACAAGACAACAGAAAATCGAGACTGGTTATTAACTGTTAAAGAATTTGACGCAAAAACTCTAGATGATCCAGATGCTATGGAAGATTTGATCAATAGAATTGTAGATTACAAGGTAACCGGAGATCCAGATTCCTTGTTGACTGAAGAATAATATGATGCAAAAAAAGATGCCGAGTTAGCAAAGAAACATGGAATAATAAAACTGATGGCAGAACAAAAAAGAGCAGAGAAACAAAGAGAAGCAGAAACATATATTGCCGGAATTAAAGAAGAAACAGAAAAAATTCATAAAGAAATAGAAAAAATGAGAGAACTTCGCCAAGCCAAACAAGAAACGGTGCAAAGTTTAGATACAAATAAAAACAATCAGATAGCATATGTACCAACATATTACTGTTCAGATGAATCATCCAGTGAAAAAAGCGAGAGATTTTCTACAGAAAATGATACAACTTATTCAGTTCAACATAATACTAGAAACAGTCAACCAGAAAACTATCACAGTGTCAAATGTTACTACTGTAATAGAACAGGCCACAAACAAATAAATTGCAGAATACGATATTATGATAGACGCCAACAAGATGCATAACGCAACAGACCAAAATATAGACAGATTAATAGAATAGCATTTATGTCATCGTTTACAGAAGCCAGTAGAAGAACAGACACATTTACTTCAAAAGTTAATAACAAATACGCCACAGCAATTAGGGATACACTATGCTCCACAGTGA